TGCATTTTGCTACACACACACACACCCACACACATATGCACCCCATCCAAGCACCCACACACATATGCACACCACGCTGGTACACACATGCACACATGCACACCGTGCTGGTACGCGCACACACACACACGCACACCACGCGCGCACACAGTGCATTGATACGCACGCATGCACACCGCGCTAGTACGCACACACAGTGCATTGGTATGTATGCACGCACACCGCGCTGGTACGCACACACAGTGGGTTGGTATGCATGCACGCACACATAGCGCTGGTACGCATACACATGCACACACAGCACTGGTACGCACTCGCATGCACACACAGCGCTGGTACACACACACACACACACAGAGCACATTGGTACATATGCACACGCACACAGCGCTGGTACACACACACACACACACAGAGCACATTGGTACATATGCACACGCACACAGCGCTGGTACACACACACACACACACAGAGCACATTGGTACATATGCACACGCACACAGCGCTGGTACACACACACACAGCGCTGGTACTTTGAAATAGCTTATTTCGTCATATGGCGCCGTCTACATAGCGCTCTTTTCTAAATGAATCGCCATTCTGAAATGGCCTCACTCCTTGTGGAGGGAGGGTTACAGGGACCTCGGACCAGCGAGCAGAAAAGACGCGGACTAGCTCTTCCGGACGCCGGGGCGCTGCAGTGCAGCCGTAGCCATGGGGAGCAGAAATCACCCTCCGCTGAATGCCACAAGCCCCCATTGCACTCCTCACCCAGCCCAGCAAGCTAACAGCTTTCGCCTCCTTAGGTTGGTGCCAGTGACGGGGGCTGGCAGGGTGGGAGGCTGCTGCTAGGGCACCCAAGGGAGCAATGCACACGAGGGTTCTAAAAATAATTGTGTCACACCCAGACTTACGCCCACACACTGGAACCAACATACGGGCGAGCGAATAAACACACAGGCTGTAGCCGGCATGCAGGAAGGCACACACACACACACACATACACACACACACACAAGGGCCAACGTAGGAACCAGCGCGGGAGCTACCCTACGGGCTGGTACACATCTGCGTGGGCACACACTAGGACTACAGACACAGGCATGTGCACACACACACACAAGGGCCAACGTACAGCTAGGCACAAGTGCACATCCACTCACCAATGTAGCTAGCATGCACCAAAGTGTAACTAATGCGCGCGCACACACACACAAGTTCATTGGTGCACACGCAGACAACCTGAAAAGCACAACCTGTGACATACAAACACATTCATACACACTCCACAACCAGCCATACAAACAGCCCACTGTTCATTCAGACCCTTCGCAAAAGGGCACAAAATGATCTGCCAGTGACATTCACAATCACGGAATCCAGCACTTCTCCCATACAGACTCCACACACACACCACACATACCTGCGCTGCCTCCAACAGTAACTACACACACCTGCACCTGCTCCCAGAGCCTCCTGCCAGTTACACCCACGTCACACCTCCCTGCGTTCCCAGGCTGACACTCCTCACCAGCGCACACACCCAGGTCCTGTCCCCGGCTCAGAGTGGGGCGCTTTGTGTGCACTCTGCAGCAGGATGCAATGGGCCGGAGGGGAGGGGGCGCAGTGGGGGGCCCGTCAGACAGCCCGGCCTGGCAGCAGCCCCCCAACCCACTCGCGGCCCAGGCAGGGAACGCCAGGGACCAGGCGGCAGCAGGACCCAGCCCAAGGCACCTGAGGCAGGAAGAAGGGGGCAGGGAGGCTGCATTTCATCCGGAATAGCAGGTTCACACTCGGCCATCGCCGCTTCCCCGGCCACCCCATGCGACTGTACCTTAGCCAAGGATCTTACTATTGGACTCTCCATGATGCCTCGGAGGAAGATGAGGTCCAGGTCGGCCGCCCCAGTGGAGTTGGGCAGGTCGCTCAGGTTGTCCAGGACCTGCTGCATGGCTGGGGGGAGGAGGAAGAGAAGAGGGCAGGTGAAAGCCAGAGCAGCCCAGAGCAAGGAAGAGATGGAGGGGAGAGAAGGAAGAGCCAGGAGGCGGAAGTCAGGCACAGCCAGGAGGTAAGGTCTATGCCCTCGAGAACACAGCGGCCAGGCTGAGTCAGACCCAAGGTCCAGCTCACCCAGCAGCCACTGCCAGGCCCAGAGGGAGTGAACGGAACAGGGAACCGAGTCCCATTTCCAGCCCCTGGCAAACAGCCCAGCCCAGCCCAGCCCAGCTCTGTAGTGTGGCCGGGCAATTAAAGAACAGCAGAGGCCTTCGCATACGGCCTGTCTGCCTGGCCGCAGGCCCCAGTGGCTGTAAGCAGCCCTCGGACAGGACCTGCAATACCCTGACCCGATCCCATCACGTAACCCCACTGTCTGCTCTCCCCAACCCTAACCCAGCCCCCCCAGGGATGGCTCCTCCCCACCCCCCAGCCTCTCCTGCGCCACGGCCGCCTTGAGACGACTCAGTCACACAGCTGCCCACCGAGCTGCTCAGGGCTCTGGCACACAAACCGGGACACGGGGAGGTCTCGGTGACAGCCCCTCCGCGGGTCCCAGCCCTTCGGAGACAAGCTTCGGCCAGAGGGGTGCACAGTTTCACGGCTTTGCCCTAGATCAGCTGGTGCGACCGCTGCCCAGCACAGGCCACGGCAGGTGAGACGACTCAGTCACACAGCTGCCCACCGAGCTGCTCAGGGCTCTGGCACACAAACCGGGACACGGGGAGGTCTCGGTGACAGCCCCTCCGCGGGTCCCAGCCCTTCGGAGACAAGCTTCGGCCAGAGGGGTGCACAGTTTCACGGCTTTGCCCTAGATCAGCTGGTGCGACCGCTGCCCAGCACAGGCCACGGCAGGCGCCCAGCGCCCATGGGGGAGTCCCACTTTAGGCAGATGAAGCAGCCTGAGCTCCAGGCTGAGGCCAGGAGGGGCTGCGGGGCCACCAGTGGCCGAGCCCCCTGCAGCAGCAGGGAACAGCCCAGGTGAGAGATGCCCAGAGGACCCCAGCAAGTGACCCCCGGCCCATGCAGAAATGGCTTTTCTGAATCCGCAAGGCCCGAGATCCCTGGGAGGAAGGCAGCTTCAGAAGGGGGCTGCTCCCACACAAGCTCATGACCCCTCGACACGGCCAGTTAGTCTCTAAGGTGCTGCAGAGCCATTCGCGGGTTCTGAAGATTTTTCCGTTCCCAGCTAACACAGCGACCCCGAGACGAATTACACAGGGTGGTACAGCCCTAGCTCCCTCGCCGGGCACTCGGGAGGCCACCCGGAGAGATTCCAATGCCGCCCAGCTGATTAGACCGGCGCCCACAGCTAGCTTGTGTGTTTCTACTGGTGGTGCACATCCGCACATGCCTCGGTGCACAGACAATTTAATCCGCACATGGAACGAAAAAAAATGAGAGGGAACACTGGATACGTGAGAGCTGAGGGGGTGAGAATCCCATTAGAGCCTGGGGTGAGCTAGGAAATCCAGGGTTCAGCCAGATCCCCCTCAGGGACTGGAGGCGGGTGTCATGGGAGAAATCCTGGATTTGGAGAGATCTGTGGAATTGGGGGGGCCTGTAGAGCCACAGCCCAGACCAAGCAGCTCTGTGGAACCCCCCCACCCCCCGGAGGCAGCGAGCGACGCACGTCTGTCCCCGAATGCCCCATCCACCCAGCTCATTAATAAGTGAAACGATGCAGAGATTTGGCTCCCAGCCACTGAGCGCAGCAGCAGCGTGTAGCTGGGGGGCAGCCAGGCTGGTGGGGAGAGGCCGGAGGCTGTTTACTGCTCTGTGCTGCCCTCCTTCCAGGCGACGGCGCTCAGAGGATCAGACCCTTTAGGGTCCTGCTGGGGACCTGGAGGAGGTGGCCAAGTCAGGGCTCTGCAGGGCTGCGGGCAGGCGGCTGCCACAGGCTGTGCCCATGCCCAGGAGATGAGGTGGCAGGAAAAGGGGGGAGGGCACAAACAGCCAAGGGAGCGGGGGGAAGGGGCTGACTTGCACGAGGAGGGGGACTCAGAGCAGCACGTGACTACTCCCTACGTGGCTGGCTGCATTCATCGCCTCAAAGTGCCTTTCCCAACCCCACTCTGCTTAGCAGAGGCTGGGGCAAGCAGACGGCTGTGAACAGAGGCAGCATTATCCAGTGGGTAGAGCACTGGACTAGGATCCTGGAAACCTGAACACTATTCACAGCTACAGGGCTGGGCGACTTTGGGCAAGTCACGCTCCGAGGCCATGCCTCAGTTTCCCTTGTGTCTCTTTACCATGAGGGGTTTGCAGATCATCCCCCATCTCAGTTGCTATGGTAACATGAATAACCATATGGAGGTTTTATGGAGACGAGGGTGAGGAAAACATCTGTGTCATGCCAATGGGGTAGGGGACACGCCCAGTGTCGGGGATGGACCGTGCAGTTGTGAGACTGCACATGTGCACATATGTGCAAGCACACATGCATGGATCATGTGCCTCTCCTTGGGTTTGTACAGCACCTAACACCAATAGGGTGCTGCTGCATGGCAGGGCTGCATGATGCCAATGGGTGGACGTATGCACAGGAGGGCACACGCGTGTTGCTGCATGTGCTCACGTGTCTGAGCCTGGGCGGGGATGTGCCTAGCCAAGCGCCCAGGTATCCGTGTGCAGGCGTCTGAATGTACAGGCCAGAGTGTGACCATCGAGACGTGGAGCGGCTCTGCCCCCGCCCATGCACGCGAGTGATAAGTGCAAGCGCGTGACAAGGTGTCACGACAGAGCTGGGGAGAATCGCGAGCACGGCCGCAGCGTGGGCCAATGGGTGCCCCAGGCCAAACGCCGAGCTGAGCTTCAATGGCAGGGAGAAGCAAGACCCTCCCCGGCCCGACGGCGCCTTCACCCGCCTGGCTCACTAGGCCAGAGCGGCTCTCAAACAAGCACCTTCAATCGGGGGTCCCCACGCGGCCAAGGAGCCC